GAAATGATATAAAATAATTTTAGAAGATATGCCAGGAAGCCCAAAAGGCCTCTTTTGTCTTTTTCTGCTTCTGGATTTGATAGCTCCTAGAGATTCTAGAACTGTAGGAAGGAGATAAGGACTGTCTTGGGAGCCTTATTAATATGCACATAAATATGACATGCTTTGTACCTCCATTGCGGTTTCTTCGAAAGTTAAAACAAGTCAATCCAGCGATCAGATCGATGCATTTCCTTTATCCTCATCTTCACAGTCAATAGTGTTTATAGATCCTGAGGAATAGAAATTAGCAGACACAGTTTGCCTCTGAGCGTGCCCTACACCTGTGAATACACAGATTCGCCTTCTCTTTGCATGGCTCTTTTTTTAAGCACCAGAGATGAAACTGGAAGTAATTCGGTAAGATGTGCTGTTGGGTTTGTATATTGCTACAGAGTTATTTGACTACATTTCAGAAGGTGAATCCACGTTAAAAAAAAAAACAAAACACCACCACCACCAACAACAAAAGAAAAGTCGATTTTCTTTCGGCAGAAACATTGGGAGTTCTCATTTCTGCTGACACTACTTATCTTGATTCTTTCCAAATTTTTGTAAAGACGTAATATAAAATATAACAGCTCAGAAGGCAACGATAACATTGTAGAATCGCAAATAGAGCCCCACCTCAGCTAAGAGTTAAGTATTGAGGATCCTTCAAAGAATTTTAAACAGGAAGCCTGGGTAAGGGGGGTCAAATGGTTTAACCTGCTCCCTGTGCATGGCATGTTACATGAAGCACACACGGGACTCAGAGCCCCAGAGAAGGGCCATAAAAATGCACTCTGATTTGATGAAATGATTTATGATTTCTGAACTATTCCTTTATAAAGAAATGTAAAGTGACTGAGAACACGGGGGATTGTTTGCTGGAATGCACTGTGAAGCTAGAAAAAGAAAAACAGGGAAATATTTGTGAGTTCAAAAAGCTTTTTGACATCTGCTGTTTTTTTTTTTAAGATAGTGCAGAAAATGTGCCTTTTCTTTCCATCTGATTCCAGCTGACACAATGCCGGAGGCCTCGGTGGAGCACACAGTAGGCCCGCAGCAGGTGCTGGAGAAATGAGTCTGAAGTATTGTAACATTACTCAGGACCACATTTGTGTTTGTACTGTTTTTCCTTTTATAATTTCATCTGTTAAGCGCTCTCCCCCCGCCCCCCCCCCCTCTTTTGGGGATGGGAGTGACTTTTATTCTAAACAAAGACTTGGTAGATCCAGGGGTGGGGGGGTGGTGTGCGCAGTGACCTTCTCTGCAGACTCCTGGGTCCCCTGTTTGCCTGGGGTCCTGAGGAAGGGGTAGGGACCGGGCCGTGGCCCGAGCTCCGCCATCCCCTCCCGCCCCGCCCGCCTGTTGTCTGGGCATCCAGAGAGCGGGGAAACAGTCGTGTGGGCCAACTGCCCGAGCCGGGCGGGGTCGAGGCCGAGGTCAAGGTCGGCGGAGAAGCGGCTATTGATCCGGCTTGGAACGCGAGACAGGGAGCGCAGCAAGACTAAAGGGGGAGCTGTGAGACCAGACATTAACAGCTTTCGGCGCTAATGATGCCCGTGCCAGACGGGCAGAGGGAAAAAAAGGAGACTGGAGCGGCAGCTGGGATCGCTCGCTGCCTGCGCCCGGCCGCCTCCGGGGAGAGGAGGAGGAGGAGGGCCAAGGGGCCAGCGCCGGGCTGGGCAGGGCCAGGGCAGCCTCTCCCCGGCCGCCGCGAGGTGGAGCGCGCCGGCGGGCGGCGGCGTGTCCGGCCCTGCGCCGGCCCGCCCGCGCGGCCCTTTCCCGCCGTCGGGGCAGCGCGGGGCCAATGAGGAAGTGCTCCCCGGGTCAGTCGCGGCCCGCGCCGCCCCCTGCCCGCGACTTCCTGCTGGGGGTGGGGCGGGGGGCCCCCTCCCCAGACTCGGCCGCGCGAGCGCGCGGGGCTTGGCAGCTGCAGCCCGGGCCCCTGAGCGCCCCGCGCACTCCGCGGAGGGCCCCCTTTCTTGAAGGAGGCTGCCCCGTTCCCCGCAGCCATAGACCGGTCCCCCTTCCTTGTAATCAGCCCCCCCGTCCCCGAGGACAAGGGTCGTGCGTCGGGATTTCGGGTGCGGGAGCGCAGGCGACACCGGGCTGCAGGCGCGCCGTGGCCATCCGAATCCAGACCTGCCCCCTTGCGCTGTGTGACCTTGGGCAAAACGCTAACCCTCTCTGGAGTTCACGCCGCCAGTTCTCGGAAAGAGAGCGCTAACAGCTCTCCCAAATTTAAGAATCTGGGCGGGTTGGGATGACCGGTTTATGGTTTTCTTAAGTTTATTAAAGGTGCGTGTGGGCATTTTTTTCTTAGGCCACTTTCCTGGAAAGATTTTCGCGGTGAGGCGAGATGGGAGGAGAGGGAGGCGCTTCTAGACTTTGGACCACGTGGAGGTGGGGTGTGGGTTAGGAGTAGTGGGCAGCCGCGTGCAGTCCCGGATGGTGGTGGGGAGCGGCAGCACCAGCTTGCCCCCGCCCCGCCTTCCACCGCCCGGTCTCCGCTCACTGGGCAGCCGACCCTGCCGCCCAGTCCACGAAACTGCGTGCTGGGGCACATTTTATTGTGATTCTTTTTCGGGGGGTGGTTTGGGCGGGGAGCTCTTTCTGTCCTCGCTAATGGGCGCTGCGCTCTGTTAAGTTGTTGGTACATTCGCCCCACCCTAGACCTTGGGGGCGATCGGAAGCCCCACGTGCCCCAAGGAAAAGGCCCCGAAGGAGGCGGCGCGCCTGGAGGCGTCACGGCCCCGCCAGTCGCTCGGGTGAAGCCGCCAGAGCCGGGCCTGGGGGCGGGGTGGGATGGGTGCAGCTGGGCTCGCCCGTGAAGCCCAGCCCTGAGCCAGGCCCCGACCCGCCCTGGCCGCTTCCCGGCCCAGATCAGAGAAACCCTGAGAAGGGAGAGGGGTCCAGCCGCGTGGCGCGTCCAGCCCCGGAGGTCAGATCATCAATAGACGAAGGTGGCCGCGGCCTGGGCAGGGACGGGGCTGGGGGTGGGGGAGGAGTGGCCTTGTCCCCGGGCCACGGACAGGCCCCCACAACTCCTCTTGTCCTCGCCGGCTGGAGACCAAACGGCTGACGAGGCAGCTGTGTCCTTCCCAGTCTGACGGGCGATTTCAAGTCCTGCCCCGGGCGGAGGAGCGCTGGGTGGGGGGCGTTAGTTTCAGGTTGCGGTAATTGTCAGGGGGCGGGAGGGAGCTGGGGGACCTGAGGGGGTCACCCACAGGAGGACCTTCAGAGAACCGGCCCCGCCTACTTCTGGGTCAGCACGTACAAGTCCCTCTCCCACGTGGAGCGCCCCTGCCCCCTTACCCAACCTCTTCCCGCCGACTCTGGCGTTAGGGGGTGGGGCCCGGGTTTGACCCCCCAAGAGTTAATGGGGTGAGATGGAGGGAGCTCAGATTCCAGTGAACATTCCTTCCGGAATGGGACTCAAACAAGGTCTCATGTTCCCCCTCCCCACAATGTGGTCTTAATTCTCTACTCTTTCTGTCTTTTATTTTGTCCACTTCGCTCTTCCAGAGTTTGTAATATCGGGATTTATATGAAGATACTTTTTGGAAGTTTAAGCCCGACCCCCCAATAAAACAAAAGTAAAAACCAAGCTGCTTTTCTAGGGAGATGAAGCGGTTGATCATCTCCTCCAGTCCCCACGTCGACCCCAACCCTATTCAACTCCCCCCCCCCCCCCCCCCCAGTCCAAAAGAGCTTTCCATGGGTGGGTGGAGACTTGCGTTGATTCAGCTTACTTCCACGCACACCGCACTCCGCCCCCCCCTTCTCAGGGGTCCTACTCCCGGGAGGGGAGGAGGGATGAAGAAGATTTTCCTTTATTTAGAAATATCCTGCCCACCGTGTCCCTCCCCTTGGCGGTGCCGGTGCACGAGATGAGGAGCGCACAAAAACGCTGGTTGCACGTGTGGCTGGCCTGGACTGCGGGTGTGCGCACTGGCGAGTGTGTGTGTGTGTGTGTGTGCGCGCGCGCGCGCGCGAGTGTGGCTCTGTGTCTGTGTGTGTGCTTTCTTGTTCTCTTACAGGGTACAATGTTAAAAAGCCACCGCTAGTCGCCCCCAGTGCTCCGACTCTCTGGGTCTTTTTGTCTCTAGTGCAGATTAAACGTCACGTCCGCACTTGAACTTGAATTTTATCCCATTGTACAGAGGCAGCCCCAGCCATAGAGAGACCGAGAGCTCCCAGAGAACCCGGACTCCGCCATCTTCACGTTGCAATCTATAGCTCCCAGTCCGCGCCCGCACCGACCCAGGCGCACTGGGCGAGCCGCCCCTCAGCCCCGCTCCCCCCGGGCCCGCGGCGCCAGGGGAGCGCTGGGGAGCGCTCGCGGGGACCCGGCAGCCTCTCCGGCCGGCGCCAGCCTGCCAGGTGAACTGGGAAGGAGCCGCTCCTGGAGTCCCCCCAGAGCCTCGGAAGGGTCAGTCTCCGAGAAAAAAAACAGGCAGCCCGCAGAAAACCCAGAAACAACCGAACCGAGGCAGTTTTACATTGCTTTGGGTTTTTGGAGGGGGCGGGGTGAGGGGGTACGAGACAAGTCCTCAAGTTTTCTTTTCTTTTTCTTCTTTATTTGTTTGCATTTTTTTTTCTTTTCCCCCCCCTCCTGGTAGAAGTGCGCTTTCCACCTACCAGACCCTGAAAGAAAGTGTCAGCAGCCGGTGCAAAATCCGGTTTAAGTTCAAGAAGACATTTGGAAGTCCAGGAGGCCGAGCAGTTTGAAGAAGTGTAAGCGATTTTTTTCCTTCAGAAGAATATATTTTTCAAGAAACCGGCCACTCCGCGGCAAGCAACAGCATTTTTTTTTTTTTTTTTGCCTCTTCTATTTTAGATCGAGAGGTTTTTCTTTTCTTTTTTGTCTTCTATTTTCCTTTTTGCAAACAAAACAAAAAACAGCATAGAAGAAAGAGCAAAATAAAGAAGAAGAGGAGAAGGAAGAGAGGGCAAGAGAGGAAGGGAAAAAAAACCAAAACACCAACCCGGGCAGAGGAGGAGGCGCGGCGGCGGCGGCGGCAGCGGCAGCGGCAGCGGCGGCGGCGGCTGGACCCCCCTCCCCCGGTTCCCCCCATCAGTGCAGCTCTCCGGGCGATGCCAGAATAGATGCCGGGGCAATGTCCCGCCGCAAACAGGGCAACCCGCAGCACTTGTCCCAGAGGGAGCTCATCACCCGTAAGTGTCTGCGGCGTGCGCGCGAGGGGCCGGAGGATGGGGCTCCGGGCGCCCGGGGCTGGGGACGCCGAGCCGGGCGCAACCGGGCCCGGCGCCGGGGCCGCCCGCGGGCTCGCAGAGGCAGCAGCGTCGGCCCAGAGCATGGTGGGGGGCGGGGGGCCATAGGAAAGTTTCTTTGCAGCCCGGGGAGTCGGGGTGCTGCGCAGTCAGACGCGCCTCGGGCTCGGGGGCCTGCGGATCGGGCTCCCGGCCGGGGAGGGGGCGCGCAGGCTGGAGGAGGTGTGTGTGTGCGCGCGGAGCCCGGCTGGACGCTCGCCCCTCCGAGCGGCGTGTGTGGCGGCGGCGGCGCTGGTGGCGGGGTTTGGAGAGGAGGGGGAGGGGGCTTGGGGGAGCGGAGGGGGAGGGGGGAGCCGGGAAGTGGGGAAAAGTTGGCGAGCGCGTGGGTCCGCGCTGACGGCGCGGGCGGAGGAGAGCGGGGTGCGCTCTGGGCTGGGGGCGATGCGGGGTTAGGGGCGGCCGCCGGCTTCGAGTCCCCGGTCGCTGCACCCGGCCGGGCAGGGCGCCGGCCACGCCGGTCCTGGGATTCCGCAGCCGCCTTTCTCTCCCCTCCTCTTGCTATTTGCAAAAGAATCCAGCTGCGCGGCTGTTTGCCGGGCTCATGCTCCCCCCCACCCCCCATTTCCCCACCTCCGTCTGTCTCCTGGGATGATCTTGTCTTCTTTCCCCCACTCCAAAAAAAGGTGGGGGGATTGGGAGCTGGTGAAAAATCCTCGCCACGGGGGAAAAAAAAAGGGTTGTCAGCTAGAAGTGCTGAGAGAAGTGCTTGTAAAATAGTAAAAAAAAAAAAAAAAAAAAAAAAAAGAGAAAGGCAAAGAAAAAAGGAGAGAGACCTATCAATCTCTTACCCATCTTTCTATCTCAGTTATCTTTCATCTTCCCTATCTAAATAAACAAGGCAGGTCGCAGTGGAAATCCACCGGCTGAAATCGCGTGGATTTCAAGCAAGTGGCAGGGCGGGCAAAGTCAGGCAGCGGGGCAGAGACGCAGCAGCTTCCAGCGCCCGGGTTGGGTTTATTTAGAAAAGGGAAAAAGCGAGCGAGAGCTGCTCAGGTACGGTGTGTGCAGGGAAGCTCGCCTCGGGTGCCCGCGCAGTTGCCGGGGAAGGTCGGCTCCCAGGGCTCCCCGCCCGCCGCAGCCCGCGGGGCCGCTGCTTCGCGGCGCGCGAACCCTTCCCCGCGGTCCTTTCTCTTGCGGTGCCTGGGTCGCTGTTGCTTTTTTTTTTTTTTCTTTTTATTGCAATAGAAATAAAACATCCTCTGGGTGCCATCGAGACCGCGGGCAGGTTGTGTTCCTGCAGTCCTCCGAGCGCCTCGTCGGGCTGGGGCCGGGCTCCCCGCGCGGCGCTGGAGAGGGCTGCGCGCCCAGCCGCCGCCGAGGACTGGCTGCGGGGCGGCCGAGAGCCGAATATTTATGTTATATTTTAAAAAATTTAAATAAATAAATAAATATATAAAGGGGTTCTCCCCTCCCCTGAAAACCCAGCGTAGGAGCCATCTGCTCGGAGCAATTGCTGCTGCCATCTCTCCTTTGTTACAGCAGATACATTAGTAAGAATTTGTGGGTTTATTATTATTTTTTGCGGAGGGGAATAGATGTTAAAGTGGGATCCGCCTTGGGAGAGGGATGCCTTTTTGGAGGGAGGGAGGAGGACTTCTTTTTTATTTTTCATCGTTGTAACATCAGGGAAGACTCTCTGGTTGCATTTAAAACAAAATATTTTGCAACCAGATTTGAGCCTGGGTTGATCAAGGTCCTTTTCGCCAGTTGACATTTCGTCCTTTACCAAGCTGTAGGAATTGCTTATCTTACATCCCACCTACCCCCCTTTAGATGGTGGAGTGTTGTTTGAATGTCTATACTTGGGGACGCCTGATTTCTTCAGGAGGCAATTTGCCCCACATAACCTCTATATAATTGCGAGGGTTGTTTTTGAGGAGGGGGAAAGTTGGGGGGTCGGGGAAGGGGGAGTTGTCCTGGGTGCATTGCCAAGCTGGTGGCAGCCAAAAGAGCCAGGAGTGTTTGCAGTTGTGTGTAAGGGGCAAAAAGCAGGTAGGTTTGCTTTCTTATGCTCTCTCCTCTTCTGGCATTCCTGGGACATCAGGAGAAAGCCCTGGCCAGAAGGACTGGTGGCAGCTGGGTGTGGGGGGCAAAGGGTGCCTGGTGCAACATCCTTCCATCCTTCATTTGTCCCAGATCTCTCAGCCTTACTCCTTGCTTGAGCGGTGCTGGGGACAGCCGGCTGACACTGGAGCGGTGGCGGGGAGGGAAGAGAGAGGCAAAGGACAAGAGAGGTGGGGAGAAGGAGACAAGGGGGCAGAGGATATCCCACCTGCCTTTCAGGGGCACCCGGAGCCCCGGGCATGTGCAGGGTTTAAGCGGGGAGAGTGATCCAACCAGTTTTCAGACAAGGCTATTTATTCTCAAAAAGCAGCTGGCTTTTCTGTCTGCCCTGTGTCACCCGGGAGGTGGGAGTGCAGGCAGAGGAAGGGCAAGAACTGGATGCAATTGAGGCTGCACGGCCTGTGGAAGTACCTCTCCACAGTGATGCAGGAGGTGTGGGTTTAGGGTGCTCTGGAGCCCTGGCCAGCGAAATGGGTGCTGTCACAGCCCGGACCCGAGGTTCACATTTTAGATTTTCAATGTGAAAGGAAGCACCTAAAACGTGGTGCATCTTCAGTTGGGTGGCAGCCCGCCGGCCTGTGGAGTAGCAGTTCTTGGATCTTTAGGGATGATGCAACTTAGGATAACTAATGGTCTGGGAAACCTGAAGAGCGCACAAATAGCATCGATAATCTTGGTGGGTGGTGGGGGGGCGCGGAGAAGGGCTCCATAATGAGCTAGTTAAATTTACAGGCAGGGCCAGTGAGAAGAGGAGTGAGTACCAAAGCCAGTGTGAGAGACAGCTGGGGATGAAAACCTGGGCTTCTGGTTTGTTTCAAAATGTTTGACCCAGATAGATATGGCTTTTAAAACCGGAGGACAGACACAGCTATTAATAAACACAAACACAAAACAACACATTGACGTTGTGAAGAGAGGAAGAAGACAAGAAGACGGGGCGCGAGTGACCAGGCAGAGGGAAAGGGCCGTGAGCCGGCTGTGCGGTGAGCGAGGAAGGAAATGCACTCTAGTCCGCCAGAGAGCTGTGGGGCTCTCCGGAGAAGCTAGGATGTCCATGGTAAATCACACAACCTCAGTGAACGGGATTTTTCAACAGCCCACCAACAGGTTTCCTTGGAAGATCAGTAATTTTCCTGGTGAATTCACGATCTTGCAAAACTAGAGACCCAAGATTTGACGCGGAAGTTAGGCTGTGTTAATTCCATGGTTGCCTTTTAAATTAGGTTTTGCTGTAGCTGTGTGTTTTGAAGGCAGCTGTGCTCACCATTATCTTCACTCCCCAGAGGATAGCCTATCTCCAGTGGTCCACATGTCTTTCAAAATTGGGCCTCCGATAAATTTCATAAGACCTGGGCCCCTCTTTCTTTTTGGTGGTTGTTCGGGGGAAGTTTGTCTCCCTTCTGCACAGAAGGGGACCCCCTGTCATTAGAAGTGTGCTATAAGTCAGCTGCTCTGATTCCACGGGAGAATAAAAATGTGTTCATCAAAGGTGTTATGCCAGGCTGATTTCATTCATTGGTAATTCACACCTGAGAGAAAACAGCCGGGAGCAGATTTTAACAACCTCTAATATTTTTAAAGGCTATTCTTTCCCTCCCGGAATATGATGTACATATGCCTATTTCTTTTTTTTTTTTTTTGTGGGGTGGGGGGAGGTTGCTATCTTCTTGTGCTTTGGCTTCTGCAGATTTTGTGTGGCCTTCAAAATATTTCGTAACAGAAAACGAGTCATTTCTCAAATGCTGGAGTGAATGCAATTGTTTTGGTAAATCTGGCCTTAGGAACGTGGAGGGAGGCTGAGGGCAGAGGGTTGGGTGTGACTCTTTGCTGACCATTGCGAGGGACTAAATGGGTCTTATTGATGGGAGGGAAGGCCAACTTTGGGTGCATTTGACAATAATTAGCATGATGTCTCAGGTGAGAGAGAAGCGTGCAAAAGAGTCCATTTACAGATATCAGTTTCCGTCCGACCCTAGGATGTACCAGTTTCTAGCTCCTTATCAGAATCGAGCTCTTGGCAGTGTCTTTTAGCTTAGAACATGGTTTGCACCAGCCTTCCCTTTTTCCTTTGCATCTCCTTTCTCGATCGCTTTGCATTCTCTGTTGCTTGTTGTGATAAAATACTTTCCAAAATAAACTTTCAGTTGAATTGGCTTTTGCTTGATGGCAAGGCTGAGACGCCGAGCTGTGCCTGGCGCCATTTGGCAGCTAGGGGGAGCCCGGTGCCCGTGTCATGGCTTGGCGCTTCCCTACAATGGGCCGGGAGCGGGCTTCCATCAGCGCCGCATCAGTTTACGTTGCTGCAAAATGTCTTAAGTGTGAAGTTGTAATATTGATTTTCCTGCAGAGATTCGAGTGGAGCCAAATGAGAATATAAGTTTGAGAAATCTGTTTTCAAGCTATGGACATTGATTCACGAGCCCTCGTTAGGTAGATGGGGGCATTTTTCTTTTTCTTGTTTTTTTTGAGCAATTAAAATTGTTCGTTTTGAATGGAAGTGTTTTCCCCGATTGGTCTGTGGTCTTGACTTTTTGAAAATTCCGTTGGGCGGTGGAGGCATTCGTGACGGGGCAAGAGGGTCAAGGAGGAGTGTACCTCATTTTGGCCGTTTCTGGGCTGCCTGTCACAGACCCAGGGAACAGCTGGGAATCGCTGCATTTGGGAATCAGGTACCTAAAAACATCTTGATGAATGGAAATCCCTTGACCTCAGATTTTATAACACTTGGATCCTCGGTTCCATTTATTAGATAATGTTCCCACTGTACTGAGAGAAATAGCACCACTCCCCAAAGATATAAAACGCCAACTCGAATAACA